TAGTCCCTCATTTATCGTGGGGGATCTGTACCCTGAAGTCCCGCGATAAGTGAAAAACCACAAAGTAGGAATAGTACAAGTAGTAAGTAGTACCTTATTTTAGTATATATACTGTATTGTTTTTGGCCTATAAGTCACATTTTATTGCATAATTTGCATGTCCTGTGATTTATAAGCCTAAGTGACATATTTATGGATTTTTCCCATATTTATAAACCAATGCCACTTCACCACTTGCTCAAGCCGAGATCGGATGCTTCCCTCCCTCCCTATCCGCTTTGCTGCTCTGTCTGTCTGTGAAACTGCTTCTGAGACTCTGAGACTCTTTTGCATTTCTTCCGAACTATAATTATGGACTTGTTCTGACCAGTTGGTCCCTCAACTCAATTTACAACATTTCTTCAAGAGAAGACAGGCTTTAGGCGAGCCGATTTGCCCTGTTGGCACGCACGCAGCTGGAAATCTCATTGACTGGAAAACTTGATGATGTGTCTATCTCTGCTGCCATCTGTGGATTTTAAAGATGCATATTTAATTGGATTCATGATAACTGGTTCCTGCTATTTTGGATTCAGCTGGTCCTGGTTTTATCTACAATCAAGGAAGTCGTCAGCAGCAAATTTGGACCCGATCACGCTGCTTGCCTTTATGATGGCTTGGTTCATGTCTGGAGTACCCGGACTCAAATGCTTAGGGCTGAATGGATCAGATCTTGGGGATTTTTACTCAGTCATGTTCCATCGGTGTGGCCATGTTATTTTGGACATTTCGGAACCGAGTGGACCAACACAGACTGAAGGTTGATGTCATTAAGTTCTGCCTGTCCCCAAAACAACTGTGTGTTCATCTAAATTTTGGTCGCCTTGGTGTCCTTGAAGGTCATCTTATCTAAAGTCGCCTGGAGAAAATGTGATCTGACGCTCACCACCCCCTCCCTGAGGAATTTCCAACTGATAACCAGATGAAACCAGCTGAATAAGCTTTAAGTCATCATTTCAGGACTCTGGATTCTTATAGAGGTTATCCTTGGCCATTCCTCGACATACCTCGAGAATGTTTATGGATCTCACCGGAGGACATTGACTGATTACAGTGACCTCGAGAGCATCTGTAGACGTTGTTGACCGGTCTCGTCTCTTCCTTCTTCCTGCTCTGCTCTGCAGAATGTCTACGTAAATATGTGCTTGTTTGTGTGAGGTGTTTTTTCAATATTAGGGGTTTTTCTCAGCCAAGAAAAAAGTCTGATAGGAATTTTTTTCGCCTCCAACTCCTCCATGTGTCCAGTTAACCACTGTTTTTGTCTGTCCAAACAGGTCTCACTTGTAAATGAGTCTTCGAGGCTCAATGTGATTTATCTGTTTAAATAAAGGTTGAATGAATGAATGAATGAAAATGGCTGAGATATGACTGTTTTCATTCGTTTTGACTAAAAAACCAACAACTGAGCTGTACCACTTTCAGCCACTGGATGGCAGCAGAGTAGTAATAGTAGTATGGCATGCTGTTGTATCATGTAATAGCTAAACGGGGCTATAATGACAAATTCAATAAAGTTCAAGACAAAAACAACTTGACTTTATTATATTTTATACTTTATATTTTTTCTTGAACTTTTTTGAATTTACCATGTCCTGGATGACTGAGAATCTTCACCAGTTATTAATGGCACAATCAGCTTGCCTAAGTAACCCCACCTTTGTTCTGCTCACAGCTTGGAGCAAGTTAAAACAGCTGCACCGCCCCCGGTAAAATACAGCTGATTTGACCATTAAAGTGCATTTATTAAGTAAAAGTTCAACTGACACACACCTTTGCTATAATTTTGAGCAAACAAATAATTATTTTTAGATGCTTTCCTTGTTAAATTTCGAAGAAACGAGCCGCGTTTGCTCTTCCTTTTTTTCCTCCCTCTGCTCACTTCCGGAGCACCGAGGCAGTGAATGCAGCTGATTCGACCGTTAAAGCCCTTTTATTAAGCAAACAATAGACTGACACACCTTTACCATAATTTCGAGCAAACAAATTGTTTTTAGGTGTTTATCTTGTTAAATTTCAAAGAAATGCGGAGGCTTATACCTCTGCGCGTGCCCGCCGCTTCTGTGAATCGGGTTTTGAAATACAGATGATTTGACAGTCAAAGTACATTTATTAAACAAATGTTAGACTGAGACACACCTTTACTATAATTTCTAACAAACAAATACTTATTCTTAAGTGTTAATCTTGTTAAATTCTTGTTAAAGTCCTCCTGTGCATGTTCCCGCGGCCACCATTTGGCAGCCCATCAGTTTTTGGCACAACAGTGGCCCACATTTCCAGGTTGTCACCGCTGACGTGTAACAACGCGACTCGTCAGCGGTGACGCATAATAGATGCGTCGTATATGGCGAAGCAACATATTTATGGATTTTCCCACTTTTTGAAACATATTTGGACTGATGTGACTTGTAGGGCAGAAAATATGGTATACATTATATAT